AAATAATACTTTTAATTTTATATATAAAATTATTATAAATCTATTATAATTTTAGGTAACTCTTAAAAAAATAATTTTAAAAAAAATACCATACATATATTTAAAAATACTATATAACTAAAAAAAAATCCCAACCGCACCTTAATCGTAAATCAGTTGATTATTGAATTTTCTGAAAACTACCGTACCCTAAGTGAAAGTCACGCTTTCCCTTGTTAGCCACCGACCGCGCCTGTCTCTACTCAAATTCTCGGATTCCATTTCTTCCTAACTCCGATTTCTCATCAATCGGTAAGGTTTCTCTCATGTTTGCTAATAGGGTTTTTCAAGATTTCATTTTTTTATCTTCATTCTTCCACCGAACCCGTGACTAGGTGGCCACCTATATCAATTTCCAGCCCTAATTCTACCCGAATTTGTGCAGAAAATTCTGGTTTTTGTGGCGCGAATTCTTAGCCTTGATCTTGTCTTTGAAGTGGACATTTTACTGATAAAAATTCAGGTAAGAGCCATGTGTCTGAACTTCGAAACCTTGCCGTTTTATGCGTGATATTTAAGATGTTTTTATGTTGATTTTGCTACAAAAATTTGGTTACAAGTTGTCCGCACTGCTGCTCTGTTTGTACTGGGTTGAGCCTTGATTTTTCTGGCTGTTTTTATACCAGAAAAAAATGTGTGTCTGTTGATTAAATCTGCACTTCTCATGCCATTTTCCCACTTAAAATCGTGCTCAACACAACCTTAAATTGCCCAGAATTTCACTTGTATGCAGCTGTTGTTTTCTGCCGTAAAACCCTCTTGCTTGGTATTGCTCGGTTTTGTGGTTGTGAACCTGCCCTGTTAAGTTTAATTTTTCTGCTGAAAATTAGTCATGTTTCACATGTTTTTCTTGCTCAGAACACTGTATGAGACAACCTTGTTCCTTGTTCTGCCATGAATTTCGGTGTGAAACAGCTGCTATTTTCTACTCCGTTTGCCCAGAAATTTTTGAGTGTTTTGCTTGCTGTCATGCCCATTAAATCTGGTTTGTTTGGGGTAAGTTTGAAGCTGATTTTTCCTTTGTTTTGTCTTAGAATTGTCATAGAATATGTGCAAAAAAGAAAAAAAGAAAAACTGATTCTGTCCTATCTTTATTGTTTGAGAATCTTCAAGCTCAATTCCGTATGTGAGTGACTCTAATTCTGGCAGCCTGACCCTGCGTTAGTATTTTGGCTATAACTTTCTCTATACATGTCCAATTGAGGTGATTCTTGATTCTATAGAAAGCTAAGAGATAGGGATATGATTTCCTCTTGAGCATTCAAACCAGTTCTGCTGTTTTTGAGGAGAAAATTCTGTTGCAATGTACGTGTCATGAATCTGCCCAGAATTCTGCAACTGGTTGCTTCTATTTTAACTACTGTGATACATATTCCATCTAATTCAATTCCTCTCTATCTTCTGCAGTTTAGTCGCTGCTGTTAGGTGCAAAAATCCACTGTTCATGACCCATTATTTGATGCCAAGAAATTCCCCTTTGATTTGGTCCTTGTAGTAACCTAGCTTGAAATCATTGCTTGTTATTTGAGGTAAGTAACACGGTACTTCCCTTTTATAAATTTTCAAAATGGAGAGAGAGAACCTTTTAAAAACAAAGTTATAAAAGTTTTTAGCATGTTTTGGTTAAAATAAGAATTTTCATGACTTGTTTATATTCTTCTGAAAATTAAGGGTTAGCTTGAATATGAAATTCTCTCAGTTTTAAACATGATTATTTCTGGTACATGAATATGTTTTGTTATCTGAATTTGAATTGATTGCCTATTTTGTCTCCGAAAATGCTGTGATATGACCCTGCCAATGGGTAGGCTTAAATATTGGCCATGTCAACATGTATTTGATTTGTGGGAACGAGTTCTGATTATGCTTATGACCTGTTTAGCACTGGGATGTTTAATTGTGGTAATTTATGACCTGCTTACTACCAGGACATTTAATTGTGGTAACATGTGACCCATGCCACTGGGACGTTTAATTCTACAAGTTTTGAAAGAACGGTATTGATTGCATAAACTTTTCCTGCATATTCAATTTTTGCTATGGGATTAAATTCTTTTATTGGACCCATGATTTCTACTTATATGTCTTTGAGACATTGTTTTGTTTTAGACATGCTAAACCCATTTCCAGGAATATGCCTTGTCACTTATTGAGTTATACGTATTAAATTTTTCTGTCCATCATTTTAGATGCTGAAGTTCACGACATCAGGAACCAAGGGAGTGATGTTCTAGGAGCATTGCTTAGTTATTTGCTTTGGAATAAGTGGACCTTAGTTTTAGTTTGACTTTGGAATGAATTGAGAAATAATTTGTTTAGAATGCTTGGATATGGAGACTTGAAATATCTTGATATGCAGACGTTATGGTAGATTTTAGATTGAGATGAAATTCTGAAATTTCTCATTTGAAGTAAATATGGTAGAAGTTGTGCATGACTATACTATTGATTAATAAGGTTTTCACAAGTTAGTTAGAACCTTGCCATCTGCGGGGTAGAAGTTGCAAGAATGTGGTATCTGTTCTGCTTCTTGGTTTGGAGCGTTACATTTTTATTTTCTTTTGGCTAACTTCAAATGCGAAGGCTAAACTTTTTTGGGCTTGTAGGTTTGATTCTTGAAACAGGAGCTATGTTAATTAAAAGAAAAAAAATGAAATGGAGATTTGGAGTTAGCCAAAGGGGAAAAAAAATTCATTGTTAAGAGATTTGAGGTTTGGCAGAGTTTTTCTAATTTATGGGTGCCCGTGAATCCCATAAAATTCCAGTAAGGGTTTTCATAAGGGAGTTAATTGAGTAATGATAGGATTAGATTTAGTGATCTTGAAAAAATTGAGGATCATTTTTGATCCAAATAAAAGTTGGGACAATATCTAATATTTGTGCTAAAAGTTGGGATTAAATCTGGTATTTGGCCTTATATTTATGGTATCACCATCAACTTGAAGCAGGCCCAAGGTGAAAAAGAAATCAGTGGAGCGGAGCTCCGGTCAATGAGTTCCTTTCCTCAACAAAATGAAGAACTCCCTCCAGTTCATTGCCAGAAGAGTTTCTATAGCACTTCATAACCCATCAACAAGCTCTCAATTCTATTGCTCCCCTCCTTCCCCCAAGAGTAAACTCTTTGTTGGAGGTCTCTCTGCCATCTTCAGTTTGTATATAGATATGTAAATATGATCCTTCCACTATTTTTCTTAACTTGGTGCTTTTGTTGAGTATTTCAGGATTGTCCCACTCAGTTGACGAGAAGTCCTTGAAAGATGCGTTCTCTTCTTTCGGTGAGGTCACTGAAGGTACTGCATTCAATCCCATCACTCCAATTAATTGCTTTTCTTATTGTTTATAGACTCATCTAAGTGTTCAAACAAATGTCTCTCTGAATAGAAAATGAATACTTCTCTCACCAAATAGTGTATTTTATTTTCTTTTACTGAATTAAAACTTACATTGTTAAATTTAGGTGAAAATTGCCTTAACTTATTTGCCCCCATGGATCACCGTCAATTCATTTTTTCATCCACTTGTCTTTACAACCAGAGTTGCACATATTGCTTTATGATTTTGAGAACAGTAAATGAATGCTATTTTTTTAATTAAAAGAATAGCATACTTCTTATATTTTAGGAGAGTTCAAGTACTGAAGTATTATTTTATTGATCAAACGGAATGTTAGGCTGGATGTAAGTGAATCCCTTGATGCAATGATAATGTAATATAAAATATCCAAAACAGTTTCGGTATCTGTCAAGACCTTTTCTACATCATAGGCATCAATTCTTATTGTGGTTACAGGTGGATCATTCTAGGTCTAACCACTCTTTTGAAGTGTGAAGTATTAGAAGTTATGGGTTGATCTCTCCACTTTGGCCGCTGAAACTTTCTCTTCTGTGTTCGTCTAACTACCTTAACTTCTCTAACATATATCTATCTTAGGTTGCAAACTCATTCCTCCAGCTGATAGTGGAATGGGTGGTTGATATCCAACTCCACTTTGATTTGAAGGAGGCTCCAGCACCTTTGTCATCATTCCTTTTTATTTTTCGTTTACAGGTCTGGCTTTTTCTCCTACATGATATATTCATTGATCAACCCCCCTCCTTGCCAAATAATCAATTTCATCCATGAGTTGCTTACAATTAGTAGTTGTATGCCCATGATCAACCCCCTCCTTTCTGATAAAATAAAAATTGTATGTCCATGATTTTTATAAAAAAAATTCAAGGTAAAGAGACTTGTTCTGGAGCATAGTTGATTTCCTTACTGGATTCAGCATCTTCAGATCAATTTTTTTATCAAATTCGCATGAGAATTTTTGCTCTTGAAGCATGGAGTAGGATATAATTATCTAAAATTTTAAAAGGTGACCTCTGCCTTTTCCTTTTATGTTCCTCTGTTCTTGTTCTTCCTTTAGTTTCTGTCTTCAACTCTTCTGCCTCTTCCATATTGAGCTCTTAGGAGCGCAGTGAATTGTAGAGAATTGTGTGTATCCTACCCTAAAGAGGTATGAGGATTTACATTGTTGTCTCCATAGGATAGTCTTAATGGAATTAAAACTTTGGTGCTCCATTTAGACTCCTGCTTAAGTCCTTTATTCATTGTTAACACATATTGTATTCTATAACTCAGAAGTCCTTTTCAGCTTAGGAGTTCTATTACATGGCAGTCTAGTTCAGAATTATTCCAAACAACTTATGGAAAAATATATATATGTGTGTGTGTGTGTGTGTGTGTGTGTGTGTATTGTGTTTGGTACAACATAGATCATGAACTCGAAAGGTTCAATCTTAGATTCAAATTTTGGTTTAAGGGCTAGATTCAATAAATGACTTTCTGTTGTAATTGCAAATCATTACTCATTAAAACTATTCTTACCTTCACAAGCCAAACATTTTTCTAAGGCCCAATAATGATAAAAGAAGTTTGACATTTTGAAACAATTTTGTGTTTTGGTAATATATTAAGATGATATGTGTTCATGCCAGCCAGGAAGCTAAATTTTTTTTATAAAAAAATTTATCACTTTTACTGAATTTTTTTCTTATTTAAAAAACCAACTAAACTTAAATATAGATTGTACAGGAAAACAGGCAAATTTGATTTTTCTTTCCAAGCTTTCTTTTTGGCAAAATATTAGTGTTAAAAGCTTCAATTAAATGCATACTTCTTTTTTGTCTTTTTTTACTTCTAAGGATTTGAAGTTTATCCTTTAAAATACATAACATTAATATTTTCTATCAACTCTATGATCGCTCTAAACACATGGATGTTTGATTTATAGTGAGGATAATGTATGATAAAGACAGTGGTAGGTCAAGAGGCTTTGGATTTGTTCATTTTTGTAAAGAAGATGAGGCCATGTCTGCAAAAGACGCCATGGATGGGAAGGTATGCTTAGAGTTTTGATTAAAATAGGCCTTCTATGATATTCTAAAATGGCTATTTTGTTTTATTGAGTTAGGTTTTGTTTCAGGCATTATTAGGGCGGCCATTAAGGATAAGCTTTGCTCTTGAAAGAGTTCGTGGTGGACCTGTTGTAGTCCCTCGCCTTCCTAGCTAACAATTGAACTTCCCTTGGTATCAATACTTTGATTCCCCTAGAACTTTTAATCGTCTAATATTTTCTTTGGGAGTGCCCCACTTTTAGTTTTTAAAGTGCTAGATAACAGGGCATTCTCCGTTTTCCAATTTAAAAATGTGAGTGTTAAGTCTCAAAAGATTCAAAACATTGACATTGTTGTTAAGTGGGACATATGACAACAAAAATGCTAAGGTTTGATTTATATCTATTGTTTAACTAAAGTTTCATGTATTTTAAAGTTTTATCCCCACGGTATCTTAAGAATTATATTTTTGAGTATATAGAAAAATATTATAAATTGCTATATTAAAAATTTTCAATACAGATTAATGGTTTAGTAAGCCCCTGAAAACTTGTTTGGTTTCAGAGTAAGGGAGAGGAGAATTTATATGATATTACCTTAGGTCCATTTTAGTTGTTACAATATCTAAAAAGAAATTGTCGAATTCACTTTTCAATTTTAATTTAAAATATAGCATTATTATTATTATTATTTTCAATTCTGCCCGTTAATAAGTACTCTATTCATTTCTTTTTTTTTTTTGGTACATCAAAATTTGGTAACTAAATAAAAATAAGACTAAGTACGCAGAAGGTAATTCCTGCAGCGTCATCCTTCAGGATAGTGTCTAATCCCCCTAGGAGGCGCAGCAAAGTTGGTCGTTCCTTAAGGCATTTGGTGGCCTAGTGATGCAAGAAA